TGAAATACGTCAATTGGTATATCATCTATTCCTGGGGCCTTATTTTTTGCTATTTCCTTCAAAGCAGCTTAAACTTCCTTCATCACCATAGGCTCTTGCTCATATGTTATTTCATTAAATTCTTCTGTGTCTGCCAATTCCTTTCGATACAGTGACTCAGTATATTCTTTCCATCTTCTCTTAATACTTCTGATTGGGTACTATTGTCATGACAGGAGTCCAGAATGAAGGCTGCACAGTAGAGTGGACCTGAGGGGGAGGGATTGCATAACAGTGAAAGAGTTTTTCTTTTACTTTTCAAGGAGAAGAGTGAATTGGAGGGAAGGAGTAAGCTGGGGGAAAAGTGCAACAATGAATGATTGGAAACCCTAAGTGTCTGTAAACTTTAATTAAAATTTAAAAAAATTAAATATATTTAAAAAATTGAGGTTTCACCTCAGACACTTAGGAGGGGCTATTCCTTGGAGAAGGACATGATGATGGGAAGGGTGGAGGGTAAGCAAAGGAGAGGATGACCCTCAACCAGGTGAATTGATACGGGACTGCTGTAAGGGACTCTTGTGTGTCAGAAAGTGTGAGGATGGTGCAGGATAGCATACTGTTCAGATCGTTTGTTCAGATCTTTTGGTTGCTTTGAGTCGTACTCAACAGCATCTAACAACTAACAAAGGCAACAAACAATTTTGGAGATCTTTCCTAGTTTGTTTTGGTTGGGTTTTTTTAATTTTGTTTATTAATAATTTTAATGAACATTTACAGAGATTTTGGATTTCCATTCATTCATTGCTGCACTTCTCTCCCCGCCCAGCCCTCCCCCCTCTTTCCTAGTTTTGTGATTCTTTAATTGATATATTGTAACTCACTTTTTGACCAGGAGGCATAGGTAATTCATAAACTGTCAAACTTGTCTCTTAGTAGTCAATTGCTTAACTGCTGTGATAGAAAGGGGTTTGTCATAAAACACTAGCAAGAGAATGCAGGAGTTTGCATTTTCTAATGGGTCATTTAATGAAGCTGTTGCAATCACTTTGAGGAATCTGCATGCCGATTAAAATAATCTTATTCTCTTTATTTAATTTGAGCACCTCTTTACTACCAGAGCGCATCTCAAATTAAGCAATTTATCTAGTTGAAAAGCTTCACATAATGATGATTGTAAATATTGTCTTTATATTTCTAGTAAGATTTTTGCCATTTTGTAGGAAGGTCACAAATTGTGAGTGAAAGACCCCAAATTAGGGCTTTTCTCAGATCGGGCGCGACCCCGAGCAACTCACACCAGAACCACTCGCTGCAATCACACGAGGCTTTATTGTTGGAGCTCTGGGACGACTTGTGTCTCTTGTAGGAGACAGGAAAGTCAACCCTGAGCCAAAAAAGCAAGGGATTTTTATAGAGGGTCTAGGGGTTCTTTGGCGTGGAGTTTGCTCATTGGCTCTTCGGAAAAGCAGAAATTCAGTTCTAGGTCAGCCACCTGCTGCTGATGCTAGTTAAGATATGGTTTTGCCAGTAATTGCTTGTTCAGCTTGTGGTCAGTCCAGTAACTGCTTGTTCAGTTTGTGGTCACCTAGTTCCTGGAACATAAACGTTTACACAAGATCAA